CTCAGTTGCTTGAGGTAGAAGACCTACAGAACATTAAGAGATTTGACCAGCCACAGCACCTTTGCCTACTGTTTCCCGACTAAAATACTGATCTAGACTGACATCTCTCCATCACCAAGACCCTTGTCCTTTGATGGGATCAAGGGATTGGGCCTTCATGACATCTGCCGCATGACTAGATCCCAAATCAGAAGCACAGTTTGCCCTACACCCTGGTCTTTGTTCTCTTATATACACACTTCTGCTCTTGGAAAGTTTAGACTGTCCTCAGACCCTGTAACCCCTCTTGGGGGATGTTTGTGGATTCATTGTGTCCTACTAAGGTACCACAGCCTCTGCGGCCTTCCACTACAATTCCCCCACTCTGCACTAGCTGTAAGGTATGTTCTCACTCTACTTGCAGCAGGCTGCCCAGGTCGAGGAGTGGCACACAGCTTGGAGGGAACTGGGACAGTTTAGTGCTAGTACCAGTTTATCAATCAAGTCCAGCAGCAGCAGAAACAGTTATGAATCCAGTCAGAGGCACAACCCTGTCCATAGACCATGGCTGCCTCCTGGATTCTCTGGGAACACTGTCTGGTCCTCACCCCTGCCCCTAGGATAAGGAAGGCAATGATGTTCATCATTGCCTAGGCAATTTATTCCTTATAAAGGTGCCAAGGCTGCCCTTTATTCTCATGTTGAGGCACACTGTTAACCGTCATGCTAGAGGGTGAAGGTAAAAGGGAACAAGTTGGACAGACTAGCCTCCATGGCCTAAGCACCTGTGGCCCTCCTATTTGCAGAGGAACTGCTGGGAAGTAAAGGCCAATATGCCTAGTTATGTCAGCCTGTGTGGAAGGAAAGTAGCTGAAGCCTATGGAATCTTTAGAACAGTCTACAGTCACTCAGTTGATTAGGGAAGCAAGACATACAACCTGGAAACTTCTAAGATCAGGAAACGAAGGCTGAGAAACGTGTCACTATCAGAGAACTTGATGAAATCTACTTGATGATCCAGGAGCTTTTCAAATGGAGATCACTGTCTGCGTTTACCTTTACTTCTTGTGTCTCAAGCCCACCACAAAGTCACTTTAATGGAGATATGGGGACTGTCAGAGGCCTGTGGTTAAGATGGGCCAGCCACATGGAAAATTAAAGAGCCTTGTGTCTTCCAAGGACTCTGTGCCACACATTGCTGCTCCCATTGCACACACCAACTCATTAGTCCTTCCCAGGGTCCCTAGAGCAGGAGGTTTCATGCTACAAGAGCAGAAGTGATGTCAAATAAATGTGGTATATCACAGTATTACTTGTGCTGAGCTGCAGCTCTGCACTGCTTGGACATGATAGTCTACTGATGGCCGGTATGGATTTACTGTTTTAGAAAACTTCAAGCTGCCCATGATCTGGGACCTATGTCATGGGATAAAATGCATAATGTATAGGGGGTCCTCAGGACACTGTCATGAGAGACTAACTTCAAAATACTGTAGCAATAAGGTGGATTAAGTCTATACCTGAGCCCTATAGGCTCCTCAAGTCCTACAAAACCCAAACCCTTTTGTGGGAAATTTTAGAAACCCATTATCTGGAGCTGTTGCAGCCAGCCAGCATAGGTCCATTAAGAGGAGGAAGGTTTGGACATTTTTCTGACATTTCTTCCTCTCTTTATCAGGCATAACTATGTCATTGGGAGGAAACTTCCAACTCACAGCTCCATTCCCCCAAGAGTGCTAAATATAAAATGGGCAGCCTCTTGGGCTGCAATTCCAAGAACTATCACTGGGGGGAGCCAGAGATTAAAGGCAGTGGAACACTAGAAAGAAACCTGCAAAGTAGGATCAAACTCAGGGAATTGTTTAATGGGCAGTTTCTGTTTTGTAAGATGGAAAAAATGTGGATAGTAGCTGCAGAACATGAAATATATATGAACCATGATCAGGATGTACATAACTCTAAAAACATCACAAGTCTAAAATTGTAATATTCATTTAAAAGAGGGACTAGGGAGCTAGCTCCCTGATCTTCTAGAGGACTTAGGTTCAGAGTTCCCAATATCCACATTATCAGCTCACAACAGTCTGTAACTTCAGTTCTAGAGGGTCTTCTGCCCTCTTCTGGCTTCCACAGGTACTAGGCACACAAGCAGAACAGTCGTACATGCAGGCAAAACTTCCATATACGCAGATTTAAATAAAATGTTTTTAAAGTGTATTGTAAAGAAATTACTACATACCTATCAGCATAGTAAACATAAAGGATACCTTCAGATGCTGATGAGGATGTAAACCAACAGGAATTCCCATTCGTGGGTCATGAGAATATAAAGTGGTATATTCATTTGAAAAGCAGTTTAGCAGTTGCTTACAACAAAATATATCCTTACCACATGACACATTAATCTGAAAACTTGTGCCTACACAGGAACCCACATAGTATTTATGGCAGTTCTACTCATAATTGCCCAAACTGGAAGCAATCAAGATGTCCTTTGGCAAACAGGAAGCTGGAAAAACGGGGCATATTTAGACAATGGAGTATTTTTTTTTTTTGGGCAGCAGAAAAGAAATGAGCTGTGTAGCCATAAATACATGAAGAAACCATAAATATGTATCACTAAATTGGAAGCAGCCAATCTGAAATGGCTATACACTGTATGTTTCTAACTATATGACACTCTAGAAAAGGAAAAATTATGAAGACGACAAAAAGATCAGCGGCTGTCAGGTTTTGGAAAGAAGGGGAGGAGCAGTTGGCACAGCTGTTTTAGGGTGGCAAACTGTCCTCTAAGAGACTATAACGGGGGTATACGAGCATCATAAATTTATACAAATCCATGAAGTGTACAGTACCAGGAGCAAATCCTGCAGATATGATGGGTGATTATGAGGATCATGTAGGTTTATCACCCACAACAAATGTGCTACTCTGGTGGAGACATCGCCAATGGAATAGGCTGTACACACGTATCTGGAAGATGCATGTACATTGGAGACTACAGTAAACCAAAAACTGTTTTTCTATGACAACACACATGCACTAACCTTAGAAGCTGAGATGCTCAAAGGCACAGTCAGCTACGGCACTGCAGACATCAGGAAACTCATCAAGAGGAACTGAGCAAGGCCACCTCAAGTCATTTCTGAACCCAGTTTATGGAAAGTTGTAGAACACTCATGACTGAAGCAGTGTTCAGGTATCATCATAAAATGGAAAGGGAACAAAGGAACAAGAGGAAATGTGACAAACATCTGCTACCAGTAAAATATTTTCCTAAGACACATGTTTTTCAAGTTTTATCTTAGTCCTTGGCACCTGAAATCTATCAATTGCATTTTAACCGTGTTAATTCAGGTCATCAGCAAGAGATGCCATCCAGCTCAAAAGCCCTGATTTCTATTCAGGTCTTGTCCAGTTGGCTGCACATGGTCCATAGCACACCACTCACACCACCATCCAGGCAGGTGAGATGAGAAATGGACCACACTGCTTGATATGGCCATTAAAGCAAAAATTAACCTGCCATTTCTGCAGCCCCAATTTGATGAGCACACGAGAACTCATTTATAATTGCTTACTTCCAACTCAAAACACTATTTAAAATATTTCTTCTGTTCTCTTTTTAAAAAAACATAATCCATTAACATTGTATTATACTTTTATAATCCTTAAAATTAATGCTGACTGGAAATATATCCTCATGTCAACTTCAAAAGGTCAGAATGACCCCCACAGAGGCAGAAAAGGACCCTAGGTTGGGTTTCAGGCTCTGCTGACAAGGACTACCTAGCCTTCAAGAGGCCAGGGAACAAAGGGCTGATGGTGGCCTCCTGGGGAACAGAGCCATAGTCAGTCCCCTTTGGGAGGCTGATCCTGGAGAAGGCAAAGACAGACACATTCACTTAGAGTAAATGAAAAAGGACACAAGGTTAAAATGAAGTTTATTATGTTTTTGTTTTTTTATTTTTGTTTTTTTTAAATAAAACTGTTTGTAAAACAGCTATTTTATCCCCATGGCAGAGTGACCCCTGAAAGATGCACATATCCCTTCTTAAGGCCTTAACAAGATTTTTTTTGTACTTTTTTCTTTTTTTAAAACTCATATATTTAAAAATTATACAATTTACAAAACAAAACAATACAACATAAAGATTCATGTAGCATGAGGCCACACATCTGACAAGCCCCCTTTTCCATTATAAAAATGAAAGCAAAAAGTGTTCATGTGGGTGTTTCTGGTCAACTTTACCCACCCACATGGTTCCTACGCTGTTCTCCCCCCAGACCTGGCCTGTTTCAACAGCAGAGGCCTGGGCCTCCATGGGTTCCATGGATCCTATGGGTCCTGATGGGTCCCAGCTACATGGAATTTGTTGAGGAAAGAGGGCGCCAGAGGTAAGCCATTCCTTAAATACACCTGTTGCTGCGGGGCTACTCTACCTACTTGGTGGGGCCACAGTGATTCAGGACACAGCCATGACCTTGGGGCATCTACCAATTCCACCACCCACCTTAAAAAAAGAAAAACAATTAAAAATAAATAAATAGTGTTTCTGGAAAGGAAAAAATTTATTTTTGCATTTAAACATCATTCCCCCACTTTTGAAAATGACCATGCCCATTCTGCCCTCCCCACAAACTCCCCATGAGACAGACGGACTAGAGGAAAGGTGGTTGTCACTGGTCTGCTCTTCCAGTCCTGGGTCTAGTGTTCACTGAATTGTTGTGAGACAGGCTAAAGATCAAAGCCACACCCCATCCTTTATGAGATGAGTTTGTTCACTTCAATTTCACATTTAAATTTCATTGTCATTGGAACAAATTTTGAGTTAACTAGATAATTTTAAAATAGAATCAAAAGGGATAGCGCACCTTTCATTTAAACAAAGTCTTTCCAGACTAAAAATAGATTTATATATATATATATTTTTATCCCTCCCTTTTAGCCCCCTCCCCCACCCACCCCCTCCCCCCTCCCCCATATTGTCACTATGGAGATTGTGTCCATGGAAACAGCCTTTCCAACATCTTGTGTCTTTCTTTTCTGTGGTGTCACCAGTTTGAATGTGATGTGAGAACATAGGAAGGAAGTGCTGGCATGGGCAGGCGCAGTGGGGGTGCAGGGTAGGGCAGGGTGGGGGTATGGTTGCACAGCAGGAGGGTTCCATTCCATCATGTGTGTCCACCACCTTCTCATCTCCACAGTCTCACCTGGAAAACAAGCAGTAGACACTAGGTGCTGGGAAGGTCTATATAGTCTCAGCACACTGTGCTAGCAATGCAAGGATATAGCTTTCAATAAGGATCTTACACTCAGACCTTTCTGTAGATGACTTCTGATTTTGAAAACATCCAAGATCAATGCCAGCACTATCAGGCACTTTGGACCAAACATGGGGAAAGGCAACAGTGATTTAAGCTAATGGACTTTGCATGGAAGGGACCAAAACACAAGATTCTTTGACCTCCATGGTTGGGACATGTTTGAGAGTGTGGTATGTGGTTCTTTGCCAGCATATTAAGCACTGAGGGCCTGTAGTTGGCTCAACTCTTGTGGCAAAGCTCAATCCTCATAAAAGTGACTGGCAGAATCCTGTTGTCCCTGAAACGTAGAGCACCCACCCAAATTACAAATGGATCCTCTCACAACTATGTCTCATGTTCTAGTAAACAGAGAACACTTCTCAGAGCCCCTTATGAGGAGGTGGGACAGGCCCTAGCCCATTTTCTGGAGGTTGCACAGAGCTGGAGGTTTTAATTCTGCTAACTCCTCAGAAACCTGAGGTGCTTAAAAACCCTGGGCTTCTCTCTTCTACCATTTCAGATTTCAGAGGTTGTTCTTACCACCCATGTAAGGCAAATGGATTGTTCAGGGGACTCTGAGGAATGCCCATGGTCTGCCTTATGTGAGAAGCTCCCAGAGACATAATAGTTTCCAAGAACTTAGTCCAGAAAAGTTACACCAAAAGCCACTGTTGATGGCAAGCACTCTCATTCTTGCTTTCTGCCAATCACTGCACTCTTGGTATCTGTGTCTCTTGGGATTCCTGTTTGTCTCTCCCTCAAGTCTCTCCTGTTCTCAACACCAACAGATGAACTTCAGGAAAAACCAGGCTCACCGTCTCATACCTGCCTCCACAAAGCTGACCAATAAGCAACACTAAGAAGGCTGTTATGTGTGCAGGACCTAAGAATGCACCATTCATAAGCACACATAATCACACCTGCCCTTGATAGATGCTTTACAAAAAGCCTAGTAAGGAAGAAGACACTTTGTAGAGACAGCAGTATATTGCAGCCCAAGACTCCAGCAGTCTTATCATGGCACTAAGGTTCCTTGAACCCATGTACAAGATGAGGAAGCTCAAGTTCAGGGAGATCGACACTTGCACCCAAGGCACATGGCTAGCTCAATGTAGGATTAGGGTTTTACAGCTACATAATCCTTTGCTATCCCAGTTCCAAGGACTGTGTTTCATTGCATGAGACATGGCTGAGAAGAGGTAACTAGGCTTCAGAAGAGTTTTCTGCCATTCCAACCTGAGGATAGCCAATATTCTCTTAAAATCTCACTGGGAATATGACTACTATCTGTAATCATAGCAGTTGGAGAAATAAGAGGAGCAGATCTTGAAAAACTAAAATGACTATCACTAATAATGGGGACATAATAAGGGCAGCTTAGTAGCAGAGTTCTTATGTGGACTTGGGTTTTACCTCCACCACGGCAAAACAGGAAGAGCCTTGACATTCAGCAAGTAAAGCACAGAGTTCTCTTTGGACTCCCTAACCTACTCCGTGACCTGAACCTGAGAGGGCTTCCTTTGTATCCTTCTCCACCAAACTCTAAGCCCCACTTGCAACTACAGCAGGCACCACTCACTCAGTTCAACTATGCCAGGACTCAGGGACAGCCTCTTCTCTCAAGTACATGTGTTCCCTACCTGAAGAGGGACTGAATTCTGACTCAGTATTTAATTATAGTATAGAGGAGATGTGATGGACTAAGGGTCTCCTTTTGGAGGTTTAAACACCAGCTGCATTTCCCTTGAAAAACCTAGAATTAGGGTGGCACTCATTCATCTGTGGATGGGCTGCATGCTGCTCAGAAGGAACAGAGAAGATGCCATCCCTTTCGTTCCATGGCTGCTCCATGCAGGGCATGCATATATAGAACAGGCTCTATAGATCAGGCTATACTAGAACTAGCTTTGTAGATCAGGCTGGCCCAAAACTCCCAGAGATCCACCTGCCTCTGCCTCCCAAGTGCTGGGATTAAGGTGTGTAGCACCACTGCCTGGCTAGTGTAACAATCTTGACATCACAGGTCTATCATGATAGGATACTTTCTCATTCTCAGAAATGGATGGGGCATGGCTTACTGTTACATTCTTAGCATGGTGAGGACAAGTACACAAACCCCACATGTTGGAGCAACATCTTCTAGCCCATACCACTGGGTATTTTTTTGCTAGAGCAGTTGTAGCTCTCAGAAACACACAGCTAGGTGGCATGCAGTGGCCAGTTTGCTCTGTACTTGTCAAGGCCTTGTCAAATCCTCCTTAGTTCATCACTAATATTTCTTTCTTTACATAGGAAACAGAAGCATAAAGATACTTAGGTGGCTTTAGACTCAGTCACACAGCCCTTTCCCCACCATTTTGCATGAGAAAGTGGGGTACCAGTACACCAGGACACATATGTACATTCACTGTCCCTTCTTGGATTTGTAGTTCCCCATTATTGGTGACTTGCTATACTGAGCACAAGTGTTCCTTGAGGACAGTAGTTTGATTCTGTCCTAACCACTGAGGCTTCAACAACAGTTTGGCCTTTGAAGGACACTGACTGACATAAGTGTAACAACTGAACAGACAAACCCAGAAAAAAAAATTTTCATTGTGGGAAGAGTTTACGAAAAGAATATTCCAGATATTAATACCAGATACAGGGTCTGTTTTTCACTCAATAGGTGACTGCTACAACCTCAATAGACTTGAGGTCCACCCCCACATAAGAGTCAAGTCTATTATGGCCAGATACAAGCCCAGGAAGGATGGAAGTAAAATCCACCATTCTGCTCAAAGTCCATTCTGCTTCTAGTCTAGAGATGGAAAAGTCTAAGAATGAGTAGGGATGATTACTTAGGTCCAGATTTTCTAAAACTCAGGCCTAAATTCTGGACAAAACCAAATTCCAAATGAACTCATTTTTACCCCAGCTAAGCCTTCTAAGACACGCTTACTGAAGTAGGAATCTATCTCATGTTTCACTTGGAGTTTGACTCTAACCATCAGGACCAATATAGAGGCACTTACAGAAGACAGCAGAGCCTAGTTAGACACAATGGCATTCAAGATCATGAGTTCCACTGAAGGTCAATATAAACAGTTCTCCAAAACCCATATTTATCTCCCCACCACTCTGTCCTGAGGGTCACATCACTGTACCAGGACTGTGCATAGCCTGTACACCCCAGCAGTTTCTAGAAGTGCAAAGCTGACAATGCCTTTTTGTCAGTCCACAGTCTTCTCATGTTTGGATCTTGTGCCCCAAGAACAAGTAAAATGGTTCCCACTCACTTTTCACAATGCTCCAGGCATTGCCGGTCCTATTCCCTGCAAGAGGCAGGCAGGGAGAAAAAGCATTACAGCAAAGCACTCAGCATCCCCACCAGGGAGTCCTGGGGAGCCCACTTCTGATCTAGACCTATCCCACAGAGGGATGCAAGCAGCTTTCTCTGAAGTTAGTACCTGAACCACCAATTAAACAAACATTTTCTTAAAGGAAAACCACATATTCTCAGATAAATTCAACTGTTCTTCAAATTAACAAGGATTTTTCCAGAAAATGGCAAAAAAAAAAAAAAATCTCCCAGTTGTAACCAGGGAGAGGGCACACTCCACAGAGAATAGGTTGTGTCTGTGGGAGTAGAAAAACCCCATTTGGAGAATGATCCCTCAGACACCCCCTCAATACAGCTAGTAACTCTGCCCAATGTAGCAAGGCCCACCTCATGACAACTCTATTCTCTTTATACCCAACCTTTTTTCACCTGTCAGTGAAAGAGAAGGATGAACCAAGAAACTTCCAGAGACCATGTCCTCTAAACTGAATTCTCATGGCTGCACAATGAGTTTAATCCCTTAACACTGTTAAAAATGTAACTAAACTGAATGACAAAATCCACTAAATCAATTTTCCTTATTCTCTTTGTGCTTTTTACAAAGGAATTCCCCCCCCCCCATAGTACTGAGGTGGGATTATAAATAATAAAACTGGGCTGCTTATTCCCCAAAGAAAACATAGTATATAAGCCTTACTGAAATGCTTTTTTTAAAGTGACATCTGGTTAGACTCCTCTAACGAAATCAAAAGGATGGCAGATGATCCCCACTTGTAGGGTTATCCTAGAAGTTCTGCCTTTAGAACTATCAATCATGGACTCATTTGTCAACTCTTCACTAAAGGGCTAACTTCGGGAAAAGTCCCAATTCCAATTGGCAGTAGACAGTTATGATGTCTCTACCATCTTCCTGTAGATATTCAGGAAGTTAAATAACAAATGAGAAACTATTTTTTCCCTGGTTTTATTAATCCACAAGACTAAATACTGGTAGTGCAGCGTGTGGCCATAAGAAGCCTGAGGCCAGGACACACATGGAGCTTTGTGAGGAGGTGGTGGGAGCCCAGCAGGCCCCAACTCACCTGTGCTTGCTGTCCATTCCCACGTGCACACTGCCCCCCTCACCCCCGCTCCGACTGCTCTGTGCTGAGGCTGCCTTTCGCGGTCTTGTTCTGCAAGGGGGGGAGAGGGCACGGAAGGGGAGGCTGATACCAGCCAAAGCCAAGGGGAGACAAAAGGACAGAACAGAAAATATAGTGTGGAAACCAGGGAGGGTAGTGGTAAGGACAGGAATGGCACATGGAAAAGGAAATAAAAAAAGCAGAGTCAGTACTGAATGACAAACAGGAGACACCCAGACTTGGCTTTCTGAGACAAAAATGTGATCATAAGTAGAAATAAAGAGAATACTGTCTGATCCTAAGAACCACCTCTGAAAAGTATTCTTAAAAGAAAGCATATGAATCTGCCAGGAGCATTCTGAGGACAGCCCTATTTGGGGACTGAGTGGTCAATGACCACCAGGTGTCAGTATGACCTTAGCTAGACAGGTGCAAGTGCAGGAGACATGGGCAGCAGAGCTCTCCACCCTGACCCTCCTCCTTCACCCCATCCCACCTCAGAAATGAGTTTCTAGCCTCACCTTTCCACCACTCCTAAAGGAAATGACCATAAAAGCATCACTTAAACACACTGGGAAATGGGCCATCACCTAGTCATTGTTGGGTTGCTTCTGCTGCACTAACTGGGAGAGAATGAGAGCTTCCCCAAGCTCTGGAGTTGGCTCTATTTCTTAATCCAGGAAATGTTTCTATATCAGACCTTGCACCAGCTCATTATGAATTGATCCATGAACTAGATGGAGTTCTACTAAACTCAAGTAGAAAACAGTAATAGTTTCATTGAGTCTAATCTTCTAATTTCTCATAATGAACAGATATCTGCTCTTAAAACAACATAACTCTTCCATCCTACCATGAAGGGTACTGGCCCCCATGCTCCAGGGATTTCTTCAGCTCTGTGCCCCTCTACCTTCCAAAGGCTAGCCGGCTTCAGCTAGAGGTATATGTTGGGACAGGCATGGTAGAAGTCTTTCCAATGCCTGGGACTTTAAATCTTTCAAAAGGAGTTACCCCTATTCTGCAGGTACACAGCCAGTCCTACTTAGAATACAGAGGTCTATGACTCACCTTGTGCTTGGGGCACCTCACCGAGAAGTTCTCCTCATGTAGCAAACAATCTACAAAATAAAGGAGACAATCAGATGAGTCTGTGCATGCTTAACCAAAGTATGGGCATACTGACTGGACTGACAGATATGAATTTAAGAGACCTCGATACTGATTTATTTGCTTCCTTACTTCTGAATGTGTATATGCAGTATATGAATAATCTGGCACTACTTGTGGAAAAGCCAGATGCCAAGGGACACACGCACTTTCCCCCAGCTTTGTTACGTTTAGTGGGCTATCCAGAGATGGGGTGCTCACGTGGCTGCTGGAGTCTAGACCCTGTCCTGCTATCTTTCCTCCCCTCTCAGATAAAGGATTTCCAGGAGCTTTTGGTCTGCCTGGATTTTCAAGTCATTAAACATTCAAAATGTTAACATCATTTGAATCTTCACCTTAAGACACACAACTGTTTTTCTTTTATTCTTTGACTACACTATAGTTCCTAATAAAAAAAACATCAGTGACATCCAAAATAATCTATGATAATAACATGGAATCAGCTTAAAAAAAAAGACTAGTATTTTAAAGTGATTAATGATAAGTGTAAATAACCATGGTATTGCTATACAAAAATCACTCCAACAACCGGATATACAAATGTGTAACTAACTGTTAAATTTCATTACAATTTTTACATACATTAAAAAAAAGACTGAAATGAAACTTTCCAAAAATCAGTGACCCTCTTATAGGAAGAAAATAGGTGGTTTCATTAAAACCTTTTCTCTCTGTATTTCCAAATGACAATGCTTAACAATCGAAGATCTCTAACCCCAAGGGATCCACAGAATTAATGCAGAGCCTCTAAAATACACACACACAGACACACCCCTACACCTGAAATACAGTATTTTTGTCTGTATTCAAGAGAGTTTTCAAGATAGAACGTCAACCAGCCCTTTAAGTCTGGCTGTTACCCGCACACCACAGCCCCTAGAGACACAGGAAGACATTCCTGACATGATCACACAATCCACACTGAACATTTCAGAGGAGAAAAAAAAAATCCCATGAGGATGATTTTACTCCTTGGAGGAAAAAAATGTGATGTATTTCAGCTTTTAACATGGTGACAGCATGCCTGAACGTAGCCTAGAATACATGTACCTTCAGGTAAGTCCAGTTTTAAGGAACAGGGTAGTGTGTGGAACAAGGCAAATAAATCTAATTAATGAGTTTACTCTGTACATCACAGCTCTGACAGACTGACAGCCAGGTCACTGGTACAGGATGTGATGGCAGAATGTTAATAAATATTGATCAGACACTCTAAGAGAGCTCTCAGGCACCACAGCAAGAGGCAGTTACGGCATTTGCCTTATTAAGTTCACTATTTAACCAGTTTAAAATGAGATCTAGATTAGTAGCCTATACAGACAGTTTTCAAATGTAATAGTATATAAGAAGCAGAGGAACACACAAATGATACCTTCTAAAGAAATCAGTCAAAACATGCAAGAGAATTTGGCTCACTTCAGAATTACCTGCCTATGGCATCTCGGATCACCTCATATATAGATAGGGTGAGCTATCAGCTTTCTCAGATCAAGGTCCAAGAACTCCGACAGTTATCACTAGCCTCCAGGCCCCTCCCTCCAGCATCCAACAAGCATAGCAATAAATGAGCCGTGTTAATTAAAAACCCACAAGTTCATAGAATGACCATAGAAAGGCAACCACTTTCTCCTCACCTGGAGTCTCCAGTGGCACTATGCCACCAGTCTCTAGGACCAGTCAAACATGGCACCTGTGGAACTTGGTCACCATAATGCCACAGGGTTTACAAAATCATCTGGAATAGGGACCACGTCAGTTACAAAAGGCACCATCAGAAACACACAGGTGAGTTCATTCACCCTCAGAGTGACAGAACAGCGTGACCGACTGTGACAGACCATTAATAAATGTTTCCTAACGTTAGAAAGAAATTTTTTCTGAGTTAAAACAGTGTAAATATACACTACACTTCTAGAGATGGAGTTCTCCTAAAGAAGTCTTACAGACTACACACCTCTGCCCTTGCAGCACACTGTAACGACAATTGCTCTTTTCTCTTCTCATACAAATCTGCAAATCATCAGGAATGTAATTCCATTCTTAGAAAGTCAGCACATAGGCAGAACGCTCAGAAGGTGGAAGGGTACAGAAGAGACGATTATCTAACTACCCCAGTGCTACCAAGGTAAGAGCAAGGAGTACAAAGAAGTGCAGGGAAATCCCAACTGTGCACTCCGGCAGGTGCCTGATCCCCTCTTGGTCAGCCAGTGACAATCACCTGATTTGTTTTTTCTAAGACCCTGGCACTACCTTGCAGTCCACAGGGCCTGAATTCCTATAGGGTAAAACCAAAGCAACAACTCATCTGCTCACCACATGAGCTAGAAAGGATTCACAAGGTGGAACAGTCAACAAGATGGCTTCCAGAAACAAATACCACCTCCATAGCACCCCTAGGAGAGGTATAAAGCATAAATGCCAGGGTGACTCAGCTGAATGTGTCATTAACAAGCTCCATAAAACTCAGGTAAACCAGCCATACAGAACTCAGGCTGAATAAAGATGGTGATCTCAAGGACAAGGTAGGAAAAACTAGAAGTGTCAAACATGTCCCTTGGGTTCCTTGTTACTAGACATAGTCGCCAGATCTGGTGCATCCTACCTCACAGCACCGTCACCCTCATACTAGTATAGATGGGCACTACAGTCCTCTGCCACTCCTCAAGCACATGAAGGGGAATAACATGTCCTAGAAATAAATCCTTGATGCTGAGAGAACCCCTCCCAGGAGAGGACAGATCCTTGAGTTTTGTCATGACCCACCCTAGGCTCTGACCCCCCCTATTCAAAGTCTTCAGCAGAGAGTTAAATTTCCAGCTGTGCTTCTTCATGAGAGTTTAAGAAAAATCCCCTCCAGCCAAGATTCTTTATGCACAGTGGAATTACCAATGAGCTACCACAGACTTATTCCTTGTCGTAATTGTTGTATTCTTTGTATTATTACATTAAACATTTTCCCAGAATGAGAATTCATGTTCTCATGAATCCTGTATCCTCTATCTAAAACCAAACTCTCCTGTAACATTAACAACCAACACAGAAAATCTAATGATGGTATCAGAAATATGGGACTATATTAGGTGGGGGAGTCACAGGAGTCACAGGAGCTGAAACAAAGATTCTATTTCCATGGAGACATCCAAGCAATGAAAATTCTTCCAGAGGCATCAAGAGGCTTTTTTGTTTTGTTTTTAAAGATTTGGCTGCTGGCAGCAAGGTGGAGATGAAAACATTACACTGTCCCTTACTCCACCAATAAATTAGAGCCTCTTAAAAAAAGAGTGACTTATCTTGATTATGAACAGAAAACCAATCAGGGTCAATGAACACCTTTTGTAGGGAAAAGGGGCCAGCCAAAGAAACACACCCTGAGCAGAGCCAGAGAAACACACTTTGGCCCTGCAACCAGAACTAAAGAAATGTACCCTGACCCTGAAACCAGTGCCAAAGGAACACACTTTGCCCCTGGAATGAGAGCCAGTGAAAGAAATACACCCTGACCCTAAAACGAGCCAAAAGGCTAAAAAGGATCAATGAAACAAACACACTTTGGCCCTAAAACCAGAGCCAAATCTGACCCTAACCCTGTGCAGAAAACCAGCCAATCCCTGAGCAGGAGATTAAAATCTGACCAATCCCCACCCTGGAAGCCCTATATAAACCCTGTGTCTGTTCAGTGTGTGGCTGTCCTCTACCATTGTGGCAGAGGGCAACCACTCTCCTGGATTCTTCCCTTCTAATAAACCCCTTTGACCAGCTTTGGGTGAAGATCTTTTGCGGCGGAGCGGAGGCGACCCTGGGCAGAGCAGAGCGGGTAGGGCTGTAACACTTCTGCCTGGGAAACCTTCTCTTGGCAGAGCGGAGTTGTTACACTCCTCTCTCCCGGGAGTGGAGCTGAACTGTAGCAACTTCACCTGGGGAACCTCCTGCCGAAACAAAACTGCTGCTACACTGGGCAAACATCCCCAGCTAGAAGACCCTCTCCTGCTGGAGCAGAGCCGATACTCTGGGGAAACCCTTCTCTGAGGCAGGTCTGTAAGCTGCTGTGCTTATTTACTATGGCCTGTGGTAGTCCTTGGCTCCGGAGCTCCAAGATACCTTTCCATTTGAGCTGTGCAACACTCAGTATTCTGTGGCTCCCGAGTGCCTGTCCCTTCCGATACATCGAAATGCCTACACCTTTCCTATATATAAGACATATTACATAGAACAGAGCTCTTGAAGAGACCATGGAATGGGCACAAAATCCATGCCTGCAGGACAGTGCAGGACTCTAGGTCATTACAACTTGGATTGTCTGCAACTTGTAAAGCGGCAATTTGATAGCAGCTCTGCACTCACAAAGAGCAGATTGCAGTTGTGGCAGCAAAGCTAGAGGATCAGGGATCATACCAGACCTCTCAACCAGAACCTCTCTCTTGCTGGAAACTTGGCTAGGTTTGCTAGACAGAGACTTATGGACTTAATGGACATAGGGGGTGAGGGGTTTGGGTAGGCAGACATGGGAGACAGTGGCAGGCATTATTTACTTACTCTCAATGAAGGAGGCCTTGCTTTTGATGAGTGGTTAGGCAAGCTTCGATTATAAAAAAGGTGTTCCTACTGTCCTCTCCTAAAAACCCCACCCTGAGCTTTATTAAGGTAACTCTATGTCTATCTGTCATGCACTCAGCTATTTGATTTTAAGTTTAAAATTTTAATTTTCACCAGTTGTTGGTGGCACACACCTTTAATCCTAGCACTCAGGAAGCATGGGCAGGCAGATCTCTAAGCAGAAGACAGCCTGGTCTACAGAGTGAGTTCCAGGATGGTTAAGGCTACACAGAGAAACTGTCTTGAAAAACCACACATGCCCCCCACTTTCCTCAGTCCCACTATTCATGTTTTAAGTACTCAATGATCACATATGGCTACAGCTACCATCCTGGAGCAGAAAGGTCTACAGCATTCCCATTACTGTGGAACATTCCAATGAATAGTATGCTTTATACCTGAGAAACTTAACCAAGAAATAGATGGAAATAGACTAGGAGCTGGGAGTAGCACCCCAGGGACCTTGCTGTTATAAACCTGGCTATCAACACAGCTGATACTTGAGGGTACACATGGATTATGCCTAGAATCTAAGTGGTTACCTGTCTAGATGTACAAGCTTCTGTTCCTGAACAGTCTCTGTGTGAGAGACCACTGCTCACCCAGGCACTGACTGAGACAGTCAATGATTGCATGACCCATTCAAAAACCACCCCCCAAACTTAACACTTGGGAATCCCCATTTAAGAGAAGATTCAAGTGAAGAAAATCAGATGTTCTACAAGCAACATAATGAACATAAAGAAAAGTAACTGTTTGACTAAAATAGATTTAATATCCTGAGTATAAGCTAGGGTGAACAGCTCAGACAATATGAAAAGCTTTCAGTAGGGAGAATGAGTCTAAGTATAGAGGTGCATGCCTAGAACCTCAGCATTTAGAAGCAGACAGGAGGATCAGTTCAAGGTTATCACATAGTCAATTTGAAATAAGCATGGGTGACATGAGACTATCTCTCAAAAAAACAAGTAGGGTGAAGAGAGAAAAAGAGTAAAAGCCAAAGCGTAAGAAGGAAGAAAGGAAATTGACAGTCTAAAACCCAAATCCCATGAAATAACGGTTCAAGGCTCTTTACTTCCTTCTTACCTATCCCCACAGTCAGTGCCTTGCCTACAAAGCAGCTATGGCAACTGCACACAAAAGCCTACACATGACACTTTAAAATCTGCCTGTACAATTCTTGCTCTTTTTAGTACCTCTAATAGAAGCTCGAAGAGAAGTCATTAGAAAAGAAGGACATGGAATACATCGACTCAACAGAGTTACCTGGGAAGGGGAACCCTAAATTGAGCAACTGACTCATGAGACTGGCCTCTGGGTGTGCCTGCGGGTCATTTTCTTGACTGATGACTGATTTCGACGGGCCCAACCCATTGTAGAAAGTGCCACTCCTGGGCAAGTGGTCCTGGGTTGTGTAAGACAGCAAGTTAAGGAAGAGAGATGACTCTGTGGTTAACAGCACTGGTTGTAATATCCAGCACCCACACAGTGGCTTACAACCATCTGCAACTCCAGGTTCCAGGGATCCAATACACTTTTCTGATCTCTGAGGACACCAGGTATGCACATGGTGCACAGACATGCAAACACACATACATATAAAATAATAAAATAGGTGTGGAAAAAATGAAAAAGAAAGCTGAGCAAGCCATTAAAAGCAAACCAGTAAGCACAATGCCTCTGTGGCTGGAGTTTCAGTTCCTGTAGCTAGGTTCCTGCCCTGACCTTCCTTAGCATGGCCATGACCTGAGGCTTATAAAGAGAAACAAACCCTTTCCTCCCCCAGGTGGTTGTTTCTGGTCAGTGTTGTCACAGCAACAGAGAAGCCTAACTAGGATACCAAGCATGTAACCCCAGTGCTGGGGGTAAGGGAAACAGACACCAGTGGAAACTGGGGATTGCTGGCAGCCAACCCAGTCAAAACAAGCAAATTGGTGAGCTCCAAGTTCAGTGAGACCATGTCTCAAAGGAATGGAGTGGAACTCGATTGAGCAGAGCAACCTGCCTGTCACCTTAGTACGCCCACATGTACTACAACTCTCTCTAAAACAAACAGGTTCCATTATAGCACTTTCTTTAAAAAAAAATAGTTCACTATTTTTATTTTATGTGCATTGGTATTTTGCCTACATACATGTCTGTGTGAGGGTGTCGGATCCCCCTAGAACCGTAGTTACAGTTTTGAAATGCCGCGTGGTTGCTGGGAATTGAACCCGGGTCCTCTGGAAGAACAGCCAGTGTTCTAAACCTCTGAGCCATCTTTCCAGCCCCCACCAATATTTTTGTTAGCCCTCCCCTGTCCCTCCACCCCATCTGTTTTATTTCTCCCCACAGTTACTCCACTTTCAGGATACATGTATTCTATAATTTCTTTTCCCTCCCTGCTAAAACCACTCCTCCATTCACAGTCCCTCCTTTAATTTTGTGACCTGCATTTATATCCTCACACACATGCAAGCACACAGGTATGCATGTACACACTATATAAATTAGAATCTAAGATCTGAATGAGAGAAAAGTAAATATTTGTCTAAGTCTGGGTTACTTTGCTCAATACAGTTTCCAGTTCCATCTACTTTTCTATAACTTAAGAGTGCTTCCAACTCATCTAAAGATTCAGTGAAATCCCTATCAAAATTTTAAGTCTTTTTTTTTTTTTTTTTTTGCAGAAATGTGGAAGTTGACCATGAATTCCATATGGAATAAAGAGGGACCTAGAGTAGTGAAAACAATCTTGGGGGAAAGAGAGACACAAACTTTTCAAATTTATTGTTCCATTTTTTGGGGGGCATACTTTGAGACTAAATCAAGGGACTTACTTGCACATGCTAAAGTAAATATACTACCATTCCCAATTTCAAAACCTACTGCAAAGCTATAGTAATCATAATAATGGAATATTGGATAGAAGCAAGAAATAAGCCCATGCGTAGTGGTCAACTGACTTTCAACAAAGTGCCAGAATCCTAGCATTCAATAACAGAAGGGTCATTCTATAAACAGAGATAGAGCAACTAGATAACCACTTACAAAAGAACAGATCTAAATTGCTACTCCACAAAATAGTCAAAGATTAAAATAAGAGACCTAAAACTTTAAAACTCCTAGGGAAAAAAAAAACCCACTTTGGGTTAGGTGTTTATTACTTTAAGACGATGCCAAAAGAAAAAAATAAGATAAATTAGACTTCTCAAAAGCAAACTTTTACTAGAGATATTATCTCAGTTGGTAGAGTGCTTGTCTAGCGTGCATAATCTCCTGGGTTCCATCCTCAGTATTATGTAAATTAGGCATGATGGTGTACACCTGTAATCTCAGCACTAAGGAGGTACAGGTAGGAGATCAGGTATTCAAGATCATCCTTGACTACATAAGCAAGTCTGAAGCCACGTGAGCTACATGAGACCTTGTCTCAAGAAAGAAGACATACCTTCAGGAGAGTGAAAGAAAGTTCAAAGAATGAAAGAAAATATTTGCAATCACCATATCTGGTGTAGGGGGGGGAGGGACTTAGAATTCTTAATACTTCACAACAAAAGGACAAAGTAAGTAAAATAATTTAACAATGGGCAAAGAAATGGAATAGAAACTTCTCCATAGAAACTGTACAAATGGCCAAGAAACACACACAGATGCTTAATATTACTAGATAAGTACAAAATCAAACTACAGCATTTCACAACCACTGGGATGTCTATAGTGATAATAAGGACAGCTAAGTGTGGTTGGTAAGGATACTGGGAAATTGGATCCCTAATACATTGCTGATGGAAATGTAAAATGTGTATATACTTTGGAAAACCATATGGCAGTTCCCCCAAAAGTTAAACATGGAGTTAACAAAGAGAATTTAAATCCTATGACTACTATACAAAGACTTGTATGTGACTGTTCTGTGGCAGCATGATATAAGTAAAAAAGTAGAAACAAACCCTATATCCATCAACTGATGAAAGGTAAATCAAATACAGTATATCCTTTACAATAAACAGTTTGGCAATGAAAATGAATGAAGTTCTAACACATGCTACAACACAGATAAACCTTAGAAATCAAAAGGGTGTGTGGTCCCAGCTTACCTGCATCAATGGCACATGGGTAATGGTATCGGAAGGAGCAGCCTTTGTTGTAGCAGCCCAAGGTAGCGCCAGCCTCCTGGCAGTGCGAGCATTTCTGAAAGGAAGAAATGGGCATGTCAGTAACTCCAGACCTGCCCCTGTCTTGCAGGTTTCTCTTTACCTCATCTGTTAGACCTCAGCATGGCCTTTGTGATTGGAGAAATCTGTGGTGGTAGGATAGGTTGGTTGCTCTCTCAACTACCACTGGCTGATCGTACCATGGGAAGAGATCCAGCAGATTGTTTTAAGGTCAAGCCTCATTAATGACTTCAAACCAAACAGAACATACCAGGGCAAATAACTGACATTATATTACGTGTAGCACATCAATGGGTGTAGCACCCAGACCTGCCTGTGTTTACCTACTCAATGCTCTACTGGTAAATTCCTCTCTGCTATTATGCACCACCTATAGATCCTGCTTCTATTTCTGCCACAGAAACCTTGTGTAGGTAGAAAGTTAAGGTACACACACACACACACACACACACACACACACACACACACACACGCACACACGCCACGCACAGGGGCACCTGACACCTTTTACAATTAAAGTGGAATTTGGTTTCTAGTTCTTATATTTGTAAGATTTTATTTTTAATTTTGATCTACTTATCCCAAATGCTCAATACAAGTATATTTTTCTTTCCAGAAAATATGGGTTTCTGTACGCAAATGGTATTTTTATACATGAATCTTATTTTAAATGTACTAGGAAACTTGCCATGAATTTCTGGCTAAGTGAGACACTATTCTCTAATTGCAATGTTCCTCCTTATATGGTCAGATTTTCTTAAAGCAGGGCACATCTCTATTGTCACTTTGATGTGGCTGCTGTGAGTACCTATCCTGTCAATCCCATCAGCATCACCAAAATATAACCACATGTGGCCCTACTGAGGAAAATATGCAGATTAGTTATCCTTCCTGGGTGTGGCTATGACCCACAGAGGAAAGCTAACCAGAAGACACACACTTGTTCCTGATTCTATGAAAAATGTGTTTCCTAAATCCTCACATCTGAGCTGAATAAGCTCCCAGAACACGGCAGCTGTAGAGCCTAAATGTTCACCATGTCTCAAGATGGGATAGCTATGAACACTGACATTGCATTCACCTGGTAGAACCTGTAAGTGTCCACTGTACAGTCTGGATAAATAAAGTACCAGAGAGCAGGACCTAGCATTAGGGGTGGGGCTGAGAATGTATCCCCGAGACAAATGGTGTAGGACCTTATACTCCCTCTCACAAAACCAAGCTCCTTTTAGGTGCCAATAATCAGTAAATGTTTACCATGTATCCTTGTACCTATGAGAAGAAAGCAAAGATCATTTATCCTAGAGTAAACCAAGGACAGTTAACATTTGAAGAATCTCCAGGTTCTATGCCTCCTTCAGGATTAAAGGCCTCATCACCAAACCAAAGAAACAGAAGATAGCCAATCTGTCAGTACAAAACTGGCAGCTGTTCCAGACAGCTACCTTTTTATTTGAGGCACCCAAGCGTTCGTTTATTCACAGGGTTTGAGCTTCAGGCCTCTCCATTCATGAATGGGTATATTAAGTATTTTTGAAAGTCTGCAAGCAAACATGCTTTTTTGCCCTTACATGTGGACAAGCTGGAAAACAGCAGCATTCTGAAAGAAGAGGTAGGCAGATTTCTGTGAATTTCAGGCCAGCCTGGTCTACAAAGTGAGTTTCAGAAAAGCTAGAGACACACAGTGAGACCTGTCCCTCTGGTACTGTACCTCAAGACAAAACAAAAACAAAACAGAAAACCAGATAATTGTGCTCAGTCTCTCTTGAGTACAGGACAACAGGATCACCTATCACCACAAGAAGACAATCCTGACAAGGCCCATCTTCGGGAGCGGCAAACTGGAAAAGAGAGACTTGGATCCTACCACACTGTTGAACACTAACCCAACCAACCCATGGACCATTCATCTCCAGACTTGTGACAGAACAACACAGACAGACACACTCTTCTGCTTTTTCAATAAACTTTACAACTTAGCGTCAACACACCCTAACTGATACAGAAAGAGACTACTATCTGAGGTGGATCTGGGCAAGGAAGGGTCAGGTGCACAGACTCTACAATCTAAGTAACTACTTTGTTAGTGGTTCTTCCACCGCCTCACTATGTCTTATCAGCCAATTTCCTAACCTTTGTTCAGTCCATCTTCAAGAAGAGCACTAGCAGTGCTCACCTCATAGAAATGTTGAGTGTTGAATGCACTAAACCAGATTTAGAATATTGTTGGATCGGAACTGCTGTCATGTCACCCAAGATGACTACAGGCCAGACTAAAAATTGAACAATCACCCATAAAGTAGCCTTGTAACCACTCATTTACAGGTGAAGACAGAGAAGACAAGGCACTGGGGACATGGATGCCTGTTCCCTTCCTACTTCAACACCAGCTACACGGTCCCTTGCAGGACCTCTCAAAGCAACCTGCTCCACACTGCATACATGTCCTTTTCATGAAGACAGAGAACTCATCACTCATCAGGAAATTGCATCAGTAAAATGGTATTTGTTTCTTTCAAATAAAAGCATGATACGGAGCTGGAAAGATGGATCAGTGGTTAAGAGCACTTGTTACTATTTTGGAGGCTCTGAGTTTGATTCCAAGCACCCTTATGGTGGCTCAAAACTATCTCTAACACCAGATCCAGATACCAGGGAATGCAATACCTTCTTCTGACTTTCTGGGGCACTAGACACTATCATGGTGCACATACAAACATGCAGCCAAAACATTTGCATAAATAAAATTTAAGAAGCACAATAAGCTGACTATGTCATACCCAAAGAAGAGACATCCTACAGAGGTTATTAGGACCTCAGAGAAAGCATCTTATAAATGGTTTAGTTCAGTGGTCCTAAAAGTGTGGTGTGGAGACCAGCAGCAGGAACTGAAAGATCAAATTCTCAATCCATGTTCCAAAAAGCTCTCTATACGACTGTAGTAGACAGTAGAACCATTAGTCAACTCCTTTGCTTGTAGCATAGACCACAGAGATACAATGACTGGCTAGAATCCATTTCCTGAGAGCCATTTAGTGTTTACTACACTTCTGTACTCAATATAGCAATCTAAAGATTATAGGTATGATGAAGGCAGAATTGAGGCCTCCAATGATGTTCATCTGAATCCCTAGAATCAGAGACCTTTAATACTTTGCAGAGGTGTTAGAAGAGGAGAATGCAATTCATCTGGGGATGAATCTATTTTCAACACACAAACAGATTATAAAAGCAAACATCCTCTTTGAGAGTGGGGCAGAGCTGTAGGCTTCATCAGGGGGATGTAGAAATGGGAGCAGGGTCATATGCTGACTCTGAAGATGGAATAAAGAGACACAAGCCAAAGAATGAAGGGAGTTATAGCTCAAAAAAAAAAAAAAAAGGCACACAAACAAAATATTCCCTGAGCTTCCAGGTGACAAATGAATTCCAGAGAGTGGAACTTGCACTGAGCTTCTAACCTGCAGAACTGTAAAATAATAGGTATATGGTGTGTCATGCCAAGTACATAGGAATTCCTGAGATGATCATACTGACAGAAGTGACTGCTCATTTTTCTGTTACATTCTCTAATATAACCAATTTCTTCCTCATGGGAAAAACTACAACTTCATTTCCTTTTCATAAAGTCAGTTTTGTCATCCCAGGTCCCCAAAGGAGGCACACTGGGTCTGTTTCCAGTGTTTCCCCCCCTAGTTGAAGAAGCAGAAGCTAAAGCAAAGGGAACCACTAAGATCACATAGCCAAGGAGCAATGAGCTGTAGCTTTTTATCTACTAAGCACAAATTCAACACTCTTCACCCTGCCTTGATCCTTTCAGTTCCCCTTCATTCATTTAACCATCCCACATTTTACAAGTACCTCCCACCTTTAATCCCGGCATTCATGAGGCAGCATGGTAGAGCACTGTGTTCCAGGACAGCCTAGTCTACATAACAGAGCAAAACAATAAAACAAAAAAGAAACTCCAAATATAAATATTAGAAAATTCGTAAGTAAAAGTACCTCCCATATGCCAACTGTCAAAGACAAAATCTCTATTTGTTCATTCTGTACCCAAACCTGTTCTTTAGTCAGTATAATTTTCAATTATATTTGTATTCTTTATGCTTTACCTGAAGGAAAAATTCACCTCATTCTCCCATACTGTAATTATTTAAAGTCCCCATACAGCAAATGTCCTTGACTTAGGGGAGATGAGCACACAGTACTCAGACAATAACGGGCTCAATGGGGACTTCAGTATGATTTTAAATCTTGACACATTTTTTTCTTTTCTGGGTTTTGCTTGTTTTTTTTTTTTTAAAGACAGGTCTCATGTAGCTCAGGCCAGCCTTCTATTCATTCATTCATTCATTCATCTATCTATCTATCTATCTATCTATCTATCTATCTATCTATCTATCTATCTATCTATCTATCTATCTATTCGTTCATTCATTCATTCATTTGAAGGCAGGGTTTCTCTGTGTAGCCCTGGCTGTTCTGGAGCTCACTCTGTAGACCAGGCTGACCTTGAACTTTACTTTTTTGAGACAGGGCCTCACTTTGCAGCCTTAGCTGGTCTGGAACTTGCTATGTGGGCCAAGCTAGTTTCGAATTCATAAAGGTCCACCTGCCTCTCCCAAGTACTATGATTACAGGTACGCTGTCACCACACCCAACTAGATTTTTGTTGTTGTTTGTGTTTTTTTTTAAGATAGCAGCTTAAACTGATGAAGGGAAATTTTTCATTTAATACAAAAAGTAAAAATTATTTTCAACCAACTTTGACAAAAGAACATAAAACCCTGTATTTCTGGTCACTGTAACTTGTAAACAAATTACAAAAGGATTTAAACAGACATTCATTCAGCCTGGCCTTTCACAAGTGCTTGCCACTATCTGGGTGCAGGGTCTGGTAACTTGAAGTGGCAAACTACAGGTACTGAATCAACTAGGAGCCATCTAATTCTCCTTTAAGTAAGGCTGCAAAGAAGAACACTGCATGACTCTTCATTCCCAGAACAGCACTTC